AACCTCTTACCAATACTGAACAGTATGTGTGCTCCAATGGGTTTCCGTCGGTAAGCAGACATGCGCACTAGTTCAAGAGCTAGTTTTAGTTCTCTCACGGCGTCACTCCATCTATGTGACATATTACWATTCTGATCTAGGGTACCACGTGATAACCCACGTCCCAGTCGAAGTTTAATCTCGACCAGCCAGTTGATCTGTTGTAGATAGATATTTTGTAGAGGCAGAACGGGGGATTTTAGTYTGCGGTCAATAGACTCTCCAAGATTGATTAGCTGTAGAAAGAGAGCAGAAGTTGGGATTGAAAGAACTTAAAACCAAGGGGGGGAGACTGTACTCTAAATGACTTCTGCATTTGAGGATGTAATAGACCCCTTGCATGTGACTGACGTCAAAGTAGCTCAATTTGGAGGAACAAAAGATTTTAAATCTCATGGGAATTGGAAACCTACTGTAATGTCCTCCAAATTGAGCTGCATTCCGACGTACTTCAAGGGGTCTATTGGATGGTATGCAATTTCTCGCTTTGCGATTGGCTCATTTTAAAGTCAGCACTGTCAACACGCTGTTTCCAAATCTTGAGAAACATGATACATACATTATGAGTAACTTGAACACCGTTTCGGGCACTACTCCTTCGTCGCAGCAAAGACGCACAAGAAACATGCTCATGGATGTATTAGAAACACAGTCATACAGACAAACCTGTTTAATAAGAATACTAGCTGCTTGCTGATAGGCTATAACAGGATCTCGCAGATGKGTCAAGTCTTTAGCGTAGCTGCCTTGTTTGTTGATATCAACGTACTGAGTCACAGCCAACATTAGCAGAAGTTCACCAGAATGGGACAGGGTTTGACATCGCTCCAAACGAACTATTATCTCCTGTACATGAATAAAGTCGTCGAAAAGTGTTATTTTATGACATTATACTTTACAATGTAAAATATATTAATGTTATTTACCGGCCAGGAGGTCCGGATAGGGAAAGACTGTGCCAGAGGTCTTGAATACACGTTTTCAAGACCGAGGGCACTGTTTTTCCCTATCCAGACAGACTATAGGACGGTAGATAACTTATTTATTTTTTTCCCGTATTTTTTTCTTGTTTTTGTAATCGTTTTGTTTTGYTGTTTAGCGCCAAAGGATACCGGACCGCGAGCGCGGGCAGATACTGAGAAAAATACCGCCCGCTCAAACAGCCAATCAGAACGCACGATTTTTTAGGATACCGGACTGGAAAAAAATAAAGATAAAATCTTTCTGTCGCACGCTTACCTCTAACTTGCTAACTAATGCATCAGAGATCTTTCCATTCTGTAGACTACATACAAAGTCAAGCAGGCCAAACTCTGCTGCCATCTCTACGTCACCAAAAGCTTCTGCCTCTTCAACCCCTTGTTTACAGTGATGTTCACAAGATCCTATACGAGCAGTGATGCTTCTAGCGGTACCCCCAAGTTTTCCCATACCACTGTCTTCTTCAATGAGGCTCTTTGCTAATGCTAGACGGCAGGTTAACCAGAGACRAGCGTCTAGACGGCTGCGGGCTTTTGACGTGAGGAAGTGATCGATGGTGGCGGTCGGGGAGATGGAACGTAAGGGACTGGCGTTGAACATGGATGGGGACCTTTATAAACACATATAAAATGTAACTATATTAACAAGGCATTTTTTTAATCAATTTTTTAAAGTAGTTACTGTAAAAACAACTTCATTTTTAGTAGTTTACTGTAAAAATAAAGGTTTYCCCCCCAGAAATTACTGTGAAAATAAACGTTTGTTTTTCAGCAGTTTTATAAACAAGTTTTTTAAAAAAATCTGCTATTTTTTCCGATTATCAACCAATCTCAGACTTCCATCATACCTCCCTCCCCCCTCCAATCCTCCCCCCCCCCTCCCCCCTACCAGTGTTGTACCTTCTCTAAGTGTTTTACCATTATAGCTGACAGTGTCTTACCGCTTATCAGTGTCCAACTCGTTCAGCACAGCGGCATCTTCTAATGATCTCATAGCAGAGTACACAAGAGAACCTGCTGTGACCGCGTGGTATCGCTGAATAGAGATCCCAGATAACTCAAGTCTTGCAAGGACAAGAATCTCCAGATCTGATGGTGACACGTTGAAGGCTGTAGCAAGAAAAAACACGATATATATATACAAAACAAGACTCAATGCAAAATTGCCCATTTCAGAGCACTGACATTCCCTTGAGAATTGTTCTTATATGACGAACATGTTCAATATTTACGCATGAAAGAATCAACTCCGATGAGTGGCATCACATCATGGTCTGGAATGTGCACAACAAGCAACGAAGCTAAACAGGTCTATTTAAGGAAGACAAAACCATTCGCTAACATTTGATGACCCGTCTTAATGTCCGAAACCAAGAAGAACGTACCAAGGCGTCTCCTTCCCGAAGCACAAGAAAGAATCTTAACACTTTCGTGGTACAGAGGATGGACAGTGGGGATAATATGAGGGCCCTTATCATGGCTAAGGTATGAGAAAAAACCTCCCCCCTCCCCGCCTGAGTGATTCAGTTCCACAATCCTATTCTTCGATTGCACGTTACGTCATCTCGGCCATGATGGTGCCATTTAACAAAATATTTCTTATTAGCATCCATTGTGAACGGCACCACAATGGCCGCCATGTTTTTGTCTTTTGACTCTCTTGGGAATGCTTGCAACCCATCAATTCACCATGATGTAGTTACGAAAGTTGTGATGTACGTACCATCATGTTCTAGTTCCATCTCGTCGACTTCTTTGACAGCTTCGAAGACTTCTTCCAGGATAAGCTCAGCTACACTCAACAGAAAACCCTAAACAAGCAAAGCAAGACCTTAGATTTAATTAGTACAAGGGTTAATTACTTAGCTATGCATAAACAAAATCAACGTCATAATCATTATGATTATAAGAGCAAYTAGGTTTTGAACATCTTTATCATGGTTATGATAGACTATTCTTCCTGTATATCATCATTGGTATCATSATAATAACTACCACCACAACCATCTTTAGTGTCAC